AACAGACGGTCAGGACCAAGGACAGTAACCAGCCAGCCTTTCTCCCATAGGCCAGGGGGCTCCCTCTGGCTGGGTTTCTGCTCACCAGCTGCTCTTCCTCACCTGGGTCCTTGCTCCCAGCTGTCCTGTCAGAAGTCTATGGTGTGAGAGTCACGAGTCTTCCATTCTCCCGTGGAATGTGGGATGTTTTGGCTGCCAGTGCTAAGCCTGCTTTTTATTTATTTATTTTTTTTTTGCTTTTTGGGTCACACCCAGTGATGCTCAGGGGTTACTCCTGGCTCTGCACTGAGGAATTACTCCTGGCAGTGCTGGGGAGAACCTATGGGATGCCTGGGATCGGACCCGGGTCAGCCACATTGTCAGGCAAACGCCCTACCTGCTGTACTATCGCTCCAGCCCCGCTAAGCCTGCTTTTAACGTGGCCAACGAGGTTTCTATGGGTCCAGGGCTGGGAAGGAAATGAGTTGGGGTTTGGGGCAGAAACGCCCTGCCCTTGTCTTCTCGGCCCGTGGATCTTTTGGAAACCCCACAGGATGTGACGAGGGGGACAGACCTATTCCTGGCTTTTTGTGCTGGTCCCTGGGGGTCAAGGCTGTTTCTTGGCATAGCCACCTCCCACCTCAATCTTGTAAATATGTAATGGATTCACCTGCAGCACAAATGTTGTCGTGGAGTGTATCCGTGACATTAAATTTAACCTCAGTGGGTGAAATGTCCAGTAAGGCTCTCTGTAGCGGGGGTGAGGTGGGGGAAGACAGTCTGGAAAAGTCTTGAGCCTGTTCTATAGCCCAGCGTTGGTCTCTCATGCTTTCTTTCTCTCTCAGGCAGAAGAGGGGGAGTCCGTGACCCTCGCTGTGGTCACTGTCCTGATCTGTGTCTTTCCTCTGCGGGTGTTATGGAAATCTCCTGCAGTGTCCAAGATCACGGAGAGCAGAGCCAGCATATGTGGGCAGCACCAGGACCCCAACTCTTGGTCTGGTGCATGCAAAGCAGCTCTCCCCCCACTCCCGAGTCATCCTGTAGCTCCCCCACTTTCCAACTTTCTTCTGCCATGCGTAGCCCATTGCTGCCCTTGCCTTGGGTTGAAGATGGTTTGGCAGCTCCATGATCACGAATGAGCTGAAGGCGGAGGTACATGGGTGGAACAAAAGGCAGACCAGACCCTTTCAAGGAGCTCTTATGAACTCTGCCAGAACTTAGGCATGGCGACTTCCCTTTGACAAGGGAACCAGGGAATGCAGATTTTAAAATTATGTGAAAATCGGGCTAATTGCCTTTCCTAGCAAAAATGGGGTTTGGTTCAGAAGCGATACGGGGAATGGAAGAGGGGTGTGCAGTAGAGACTTTATGGTCTCATTTGCCTCTGTGTTAGTGGCAGCCACTCAGGGAAAGAACAGCCTGTAATTGGGAAGGGGAAGTGGTTGAGTACCTTTACGCCTGGTCTCATTTATTTGGTGCATTAACTTCCTGAGCAAACTGACTTTCGGGAGAAGCAAATCGAGTGAATTAAGTGTGCAGGCATTACATTCTTGATAGTCTTTCCTGGCAGGGAGGACACATTCCTTCATTCACTTTATAGATCTCTGACTCGGAAGTGTTTGCATTTAGAACATTGCAGTGGGAACCATTAATTACTGATTCATTAGTTTTAATGAAAGTGTGAGTTTGGGGAATATATACTAAACATGGAACTATCTTAGATGTCGGTAAAAAAGGAAAAGATGGCACTGTGTTTCCTGCGGATGAATTTGTAATGATGTTTTCCAAACAAAATGATAGTGGTATTTATTGGATAGTTAGAAATTATAGAGTAACTGAGCGCTGCGAAATGCCATCTTTTACAAATCTGTAAGTGCTAATATTCTTTGTGTGTGCCAGTAATTTAGGGGAGAAAAGGAAACTGCAGTGGAAAATTTCCAATTAAATCTGTGCATTTTGGCAGAATCACTTCCTTCAGCAGTTAAAGTGGCATTGTAGCGGTTGGCACCACTCCGGATTTAGGGCCGAGAAGCCCAAAGCCATTTAAACAGGCCCTTTGTGCTCAGCTTGCAGAGTCTATGACCTCAGTGCTTCTCCGGGCGGTGTGCGTGGGGACAGTATTGGCCCATGACCTGTCTGTCCTTCTGTCTGTCTCTGTCTTCCCTTTTCATTTTCTGCTTCATGCCCAGTGATGCTCAGGACATACTCGACTCTATGTTCAAGGATTCCGTCCTTGTAGGCATGAGGGGACATACGGAGTGCCAGGGATCAAACACGTCTTGCAAGGCAGACTCCTTACCCACTGGACTATTACTCTGGCCCCTTGATCTTCCTTTAAGCACTGCAGGTCCTTAGAATGGAATCTGGTGGGAAGGAGGCACCTTGAAAGAATCCGCTTTCGCTGCATCTCCTTGTGTTTCTAATCTGTTGTGTGGTCCCACCATCGAGCCTGAGGTCCAGCCCGGAAATGGGGAGTTGCTACCACATCCCCACATCACTTAATGCTCTCCACTGAATCTGGCCATCTGGCTGTTGTCTGCCTTGATCAGAATCTTTGCCATTTCCCATCTCATGGACTGGTGTTTGTTTTCCCCTTTTTTGTCCTCCCCCCAACTTTTCTCTTTTGGGTCCCCCAGTGATGAAATGACATCTGAGCATATAAAACGCTCTGGGCGTTTCCCAAGTCCATTCCTTGCCTCCTGCCCCAGACACTCTCCAGCTCCTGACTTCCCCTCCAGCATCCTTGCAGGCCCCCACTGACTAAATGAAAGCCAAAGGCCTCAGCCCTTCTCCCTCTCCTGTGTGCCAGTAAGGGGCTTCTTCACCTTGAGAGGTCCGCCTGGGTTTTGTGATAGTTTGCACTGGTCTCCTGGTAAAACCAAGCCCTTGGTCTTTGGGTGACTCAGCTCTGAGAATTAGCAGCGAGTGCAATGATGGCTTCAGTCTTCCACCCAGAGCAGCCAGGAAACATCTAGTTCTGGAACAGATACTCCAGCCCTCATTTGCGTCTATAGGGAAGGGAAAGGGTTCGGTAGTTAGGGTTATGTCCCTTTCATTTTGCGCTGAGGCAGGTGTGTTTTGTTTTCTTCCCCTTCCCTCCATTCTTCCCTCCATCCCTCCATCCCTGTCTCCTTCCGTATCGCCCTTCCTTTCCCTCAAAACTGCCTCTCTGGCCCCTTCTTCCTTCTTTCTTTCCTTCCTCAATGTCATCTGTTTTCTATTTATTTGGGGCCACACCCATTGAGGGGCTACTTTCCGTTCTGTGGTTGGGGGTCACATCCAGTTGTGCACCATGTAGTACAGGGGATCAAATTGAGGTCTTCTGTGTGCAAGCCATGTGTTCATCCCATTGAACCATGTATCCAGCCCTAGTGTATTTTTGGGTGGGGGTCACACGCAGCGATGCACAGGGGTTACTCCTGGCTCTGCACTCAGGAATTACTCCTGACGGTGCTTGGGGGACCATATGGGATGCCGGGGATTGAACCCAGGTCAGCCGCGTGCAAGGCAAACGCCCTACCCGCTGTGCTATCACTCCGGCTCCCCTAGTGTATTTTTGAAAGAAATAATCTAGTGGTTTGTTACATGGCATTCTTTAGGCATATTTACTCAGGGTCTGATAGCTCAAACAGAGCTTCTAGATGTATGTTGTTTTTTTTAATCACATGGCAATGCTCAAGGGTTATTCCTGGCTCTGCCTTTAGGAATTACCCCTAGCCATCCTTGGGACATATGGGATACTGGTGATCAACCCTGGGTTGGTCGCATATCAGGCAAGCATCCTACTATTGCTAAAACCCCCAGATATTTATTCTAAAGTTTTGAAAGGCGTTTGCCTTGCACGGAGCCAACATGGCCGACTTGAGTTCGATTCCTCTGCCCCTCTTGGAAAACCCAGCAAGCTACCGAGAGTATCTCGCCCGCACGGCAGAGCCTGGCAAGCTACCCGTGACGTACTCAATATGCCAAACACAGTAACAACAAGTCTCATGATGGAGACGTTACTGGGCCCGCTCAAGCAAATCGATGAACAACGGGAGGACTGTGACCGTGACCATTTGATTTTTCTTTATTCCCTTTGATTATCAGGTAAACTACTCTCATTTTTGGTTTAGCTTTTGTGGGCAAAACTTTGATGCTTTGTTTGACTTGACAGCATTTTGAGTGTTTATGTAAACCATTAAAACTAGCAAATGTTCAAGTAGAGTTGTTAGAAAATATTAAAAGAAGTGTGTAATGGTATTTATGTAGAGATATTCAAGAGAGGGGCTGGAGAGATAGTACAATGAGTAGGGTGCTTGCCTTGCATACGGTCAACCATGGTTCAATCCCCAGCATTCCATATGGCCCCTGAGCGCTACCAGGAGTAATTTCTGATTGCAGAGCCAGGATGCATCCCTGAGCATCACTGGGTATGTCCCCCCCAAAAAACAAACAAAAATAAATAAATAAAACAAACAAAAATAAAAATGTTCAAAAGAGAGAATCCATCTCTCTCTGAGCCCTGGTGTCCTCTGCGCTATTTCATTGCATATCTCTGTATCTGTTTTATGCACTGCCCTTCTGTTTTGGTGATTATATATTCACAATATAGTCTGAAATCTGGGCATGGATACTGCCAGATTTGTTCTTCCTTTTCAAGATGGCTTTGATTATTTGGTAATAATAATTTGTGGTTTCATGCAAATTTTAGGATCTTTCATTCTATTTTGGTGGAAAATGTCATTGAAACTTTTATTTTTCTACTTTTTGAGTCACACCCAGTGATGCACAGGGGTTACTTCTGCCTTATGCACTCAGGAAGTACTCCTGGCGGTGCTTGGGGGACCATATGGGATGCTGGGAATCAAACCCGGGTGGGCTGCATGGAAGGCAAATGCCCTACCTGCTATGCTATTGCTCCAGCCCCATTTTTTTTTTGTCATTGAGACTTTGGCCGAGATTGCTGGGGAACTTGCCTCGTGAATTTATCATCAGACTTGCTTAAAATGTCCTAATTTATTATTTCTTCTATTTTCTAGGGACTTTCTCCCTCGAGGGTCTGGCATCGTGACAAGACGGCCTCTTGTGTTGCAGCTGGTTACTTCCAAAGCAGGTAACAACAGTCGGCGTGTGCCTGGGCAAACTGAACCTCTGTGACTGTTACCCCCGTTCCTGGGAGCTGGGTGCTAGTGAGAGGAGCAATTCTGTGATCACTGCCTGTTTCTCTGCCAAGCGCTTTCCTCTTCCTTGTTCTGTCACTTCCTCTGAATTCATGAAAGGGAAGGCTGTATGTGCATATAGATGTTTGGGGGAGGGGCTCCCAAATAGTGCAGAGGGAGCTGTAGGCGGGGAGGTCACTCCTGGTTTTACTGGACCCAACTGTGTGGGTCCAGATTCAGTACTTGACCAGGCACTCCATGCTGCGGACCACCAGGCCACCCAGATGGTGCTTGGGGGACTTGGCAAGTGCCAAGGACTGGACTAAGGGCCTCTGCGTGTAAGGCATGTGCTCTAGTGCTTTGAACTATCTATCGCTTTGTTTTATTTTAAAATGATTTTTATTGAATCCCAGTGACATACACAGTTTCAAGGTTGTTCATGACTGTGTTTCAGTTATATAATGTTCCGACATCCGTGCCTTCACCAGTGTACTTTTCCCACCAGCAGTTTCCCTCCTGCCCCTCCACCCCCGCCCCCATCTACCTCTGTGGCAGGCACTGTTCTTCTTTCTCTCTTTCTCCCTCTCTCTCAACATCAATCACAATCACAATCACAACCATCCTGTTATTTGTCGATTGCCTCAAGCAGGCCCCAGTAACGTCTCCTTTGTCCTAGCCCTGAGATTACAAAGTGCCATATTCAAGGCTCTTCCAGGGTTGGGAGAATGAGACCCATCATTATTACTGGTATTTGGCATATTGGGTACACCACGGGGAGTTTGCCAGACTCTGCCGCATGGGCAGGTACATTCGGTAGCCTGCCAATTTGTCCAAAGTAAGAATAAGATAATAAGATGTCCCGCGGCCACATTTGTGGCCGCGCACTTCTGGGAGCTGGGTTTTATAGTCTCTGGGTCTTGGCCGTTGATGGGATTACATGGCGCCAGGGGGCCAGTTGGTGGGTGTGACCCCCGCCTACTGGAATTTGGAGGATCTGGGTGGAGGATGCTCAGCCCCGATCTGAGGCTCAACATAGAAGAATTTTAATATCTGGGTCATAGGCCGTGCTCAGGATCCACTTCTCGAGGTGCCAGGGATTGAACTAGGAACAGTAATGTGCTTTTTCCAGCCCTCAGAAACTTCTCCTTAAGGTGACTGTGCGAGATCTGAGACCCAATCCATATACCCAGAGGGCGAAGGTGCAGCCTCTGTTATTCGAGAAGAGCTGACCTTCTAGTGCATCCTGGATGGTATAGCTAGAAAGGGCAAAACCAAGCCAGCATGATACGAAAACTTCTCTGTCCAAGGAAATTGCCATACTGCCAAGGAATGGGAATCATGAGGCTCAGAGGTTGGAAACATTTAGATGCTGGAGTGATAGCACAGCGGCAGGGCGTTTGCCTTGTACACGGCCGCCCAGCAGAGCTGGGTTTGATTCCTCCACCTCTCGAAGAGCCCGGCAAGCTACCGAGAGTATCTCACCTGCACGGCAAAGCCTGACAAGCTCCCCGTGTTGTATTCCATATGCCAAACACAGTAACAACAAGTCTCAAAATGGAGACATTACTGGGCCCACTCGAGCAAACCGATGAACAACGGAAGGACAGTGCTACAGTGCTACAGATGGCAGAAGAAGAGGGAAGGCTCTGAGATGGACCCTTCTCACAGACTCAGTGGTTCTTCTCTGTGACATCTTGAACCCTAGACTGGGTCCTAGAGCTCCTTGGGGCACCATCAGCTTGTCTAGCTGCGGAGACGCTACAAGTCCATGGAGTGAGTGAAGCTCATATTTTCGTCTGTAGTACACACACACACACACACACACACACACTCACACTCACACAGTATGTTCTCAGTTTTACCCACACACCAGTTAGGAAGGGAAATTGTTTTATTGAAGGAATCCTTCCCCAACCCACACACAGTTCCTTTTCCTTGCCAGAAAAGGCTGTCTTTGTCTAATTATCCCCCACAGCAGCGGCTTGTACTATGTACCAGTAGAAGGGAGTTTCTAGGAACGCATGGGAGAATGGATATGACTACACAACTGACATCTCTCGTAAGGAGAAATATGGGTGGGGGCATCTGCTACCGTGCGTACTTGCCTTCACTGTTGTTTTTACTTATGGTGTCCAAGGAGTATTGGTCAGAGCATCACTTATGATTGCATGCTATTGGAAATAGATTAGTATGCATTTATATTCCAACTCTAATCTCCTTTAAGAATACGTTGTATCACGGTGTATTTTCCCCCCTGCAAAGGATGAAATGAAATTAGAAAACTCTCCAGTTATTTGCACTTTTTAGATTGTGGCCCTCCCGTTGATCATCGATTTGCTCGAGCGGGCCCAGTAACGTCTCCATTGGAGACTTTGTTGTTACTGTGTCTGGCATATCGAATACTCTCGGTAGCTTGCCGGGCTCTCCGAGAGGGGCGGAGGAATCGAACTCGGGTCGGCCATGTTGGCCGCGTGTAAGGCGAACGCCCTACCCACTGTGCTATCGCTCCAGCCCCATAATATATTATATATAATATAGGTAAAGGTAAAGGCCCTCCCGTTGATCGTCGATTTGCTCGAGCGGGCCCAGTAACGTCTCCATTGGAGACTTTGTTGTTACTGTGTCTGGCATATCGAATACTCTCGGTATTATATATTATTATATAATATATATTATATAAAAAGGTAAAGGCCCTCCCGTTGATCATCGATTTGCTCAAGCGGGCCCAGTAACGTCTCCATTGGAGACTTTGTTATTACTGTGTCTGGCATATCGAATACTCTCGGTAGCTTGCCAGGCTCTCCGAGAGGGGCAGAGGAATCGAACTCAGGTCGGCCATGTTGGCTGCATGCAAGGCAGACACCCTACCCGCTGTGCTATCGCTTGTGAGACTTTCAGTAAGAGGTTTTGTTTTTGTTTTGTGTGTGTGTGTGTGTGTGTGTTATGGGCCACACCCAGCAGTGCTCAGGGATTACTCTTAGCTCCGTACTCAGGGATCACTCCTGACAGTGCTCAGGGTCAGCCACATGTTAAGCCAAGCTCCCTACTCACTGCACTATCACTCTGGCCCAAGAATTGTTTTATATATATTATATACAGATGGATGTATGAAGAATTCGGATATGAAAGAATTAACCATCAGAAAAAATCTTAAGTCTGTTAAGTAGAAAAATTCAACTGTCATTAAGGAGAATTGTACCAATGGGTTTATATAGTTTTTCCTTTATCATGAAGCCCTTTTCTTAAAGATCTTATTAAGTGATTAAGGGTGGTCATTTCAAATCCCTCATAAATCCTCTTCAACAAGGGTTTGTGGAGGAAGAAAGTTGGTCATTGAAGTGGAGAGGATGGACTTATAGAAGTTGCACTGATGGCTTGTATTCATATTTTATGATGGTTAGAAGACCATTATAATACTTTATAATCTAATTTTCATTTTCCTCTTGTTCTGAAATAAGAGACTGGAAGTGATAATGAGCCTCTGTTCATTTCATCCTGGTTATTTTTCTTGATTTTTTTTTTAATTAAAAAATTTGGGCCATACCTAATGGTGCTTGGGGCTTGTTCCTGGCTCTGCACTCAGGGATCACTTCTGGCAGGGCTTGGGTGGGGGGTGCAGATGGGAAGCTGGGGATCTAACCCAGGTCAGCCACAGGCAAACCTTACTCACTGTGCTGGCTCTCCAGCCTCTTGTCCTAGGTATTTTCATGTGAGAGCTTGTGTCTTCCAGCTGTTTGCATGTCTGTGGTAGGTTTCCTCTGTGTTCCTCCTATCTTCTAGAACATGCAGTCTAACTTCCAATTAGATACATTTCTCTTCTTGTCAATTGCATGTGATCCTGATTACAAGTCAAATGATCCTTTTTGGCCAGCCTGGTACTTGTGACTGGCATAGGAGTTTGTGGCTTGCAGGCTACATTGGATTCTGTGTGTGTTGGTATGAACCGGGTTCTGCTGTGTAGGTGACAGAATTTTGCTCCTTAGGACTGGCCTAGGATGGTCCCAGGGAAGCCTTCATTGTCTGAGGCATCCTTTAGTTCTTCATGGACCTTTTTTAGGCTCTTAAAACCATGAAATTTTGGTGGCTAACCTCCCAAGCTTAGCCCCTCAAGGTAATTCCATCTTCCTGTAAGGTCGCAGCACCGTATAAATTATTCCCGATCTTCAAAATCCAATACTATCCTTGACAGCAATTGACAGCCTCACAACCTGTGACAGCTAACGGCACCGAAGCACCTCAGAGATGGGAAGGAACATTTGCAGATGCTAGGCAAAGCACTGAGGCGGGGAATAGAAAGAAACTAGTAAAAATTGCTGGAGATCTGACAGCTGAAACCTATATCCCACTAAATTTTTAATCGTTGTTCTAATTCATAATGGATAAGGAGAACAGGAGAAGTTAGCACTGCGACGTTTTTAAGAATGAGAAGTTTCCAAAGAATGTTCCTGAAGAGCCCTGTGCAAGCTAAGGAGCCATCTCTCCAGCCCTCGGCTGTGAATTCTTGCTGTCTCTGGATGTGTTTGTCATACAGAGAGTGACTAACCATACACTCATGTCTTTAAGTCACTGTCACCTCTGGCAGCCTCACGTTGGCGGAGTGAGATCTGCTTTACTGCTCCTGGGGGTTGACACGTTCCCCCTTCTTTAGAAAACACGCAGCAGCTTGGGTCAAGCTCCCGTGTGGATGGATCTCAGAGCAGGAAACTCTCCCCCTTCCTCTCTCCCACTCTCTGGGTGAACAAAGGATGTGGGTGCTATCTGACTATTAAAGGTTTGGGGTGGGGATGGGGTGGGGCATGAAGGACCACGGTAGAAGCCTATGCTTGAAGTATTTGTGCATTGTTTATTTTTAATTTTTTAAAAAATTAAATGGGCCCTACGCAAACAAGATGAGAACGCCATTCAGGTCTCCCAAAGAAGAATAGAAAGAGCCATGCGTGGAATATCACGTTTC